ATTTTTATGTGGCAGCAGTAGGAAGGATTAGCCACAAGAAGATTGCAAATGGAGTTACAGGGGGAATCGTGTATCATGTTAGGTCGCTCAATTTGAAGTACAGCCGTGAGATAATTCAAAATTTCCGGTGGATTAAACATCCCGCCAAATACCAACGGGTCTAGCTCAGTTGGTACACCTAATGAACTGTTGAAATACAGACCTGAGTTCGAGTCCAGATGGAGAAAAGAGGGAGAAAAGGGAAAAATAAAGATCCTGCCAAACATTCAGAAGAAAGAAACAGCAAACATCCATGCCAATTTGCCGAGAAAGACCCATATAAAGGGCATGTGAACATTGTAAGATGGCGAATAAACTTAATTGAAAATTGAAATAAAAATGCCATCTTTCAGGATAACTCCGGGTCGAATTTCAAGTGGATCTCCGTAATGAAATGAATGGATGTTTTTTTTTTTTTTTTTTTTTTTTTTTTTTTTTTTTAACGGTCGATGTTGCTATTACAGTATTACCTTACAAAAACAAATAAAAATTTCACAATATAATCTCACAACCAATCCTGATACTTAGCCTGCTCCACCACAGACTGATACTTATTACTTACCCTTGCCTGCTCAACCACAGACTGGTACTTGTCCTGGCCTGCTCAACCACAGGCTGGTACTTATGCTATGTGACGCATGTGCAGGAGGGCATGTGCGGAGATGGTGAGAGAGAGAGGAAGGAGATGGACACACACGAGAAGCATCAGCTGAGTGAAGGTCCAGTCCGACTGAATGAACGAATGAGCAACCCGGAGAATGGCATGAACCAACCTCTCGACCTGGGCCTAGGCCAGCGAGATATACCGACCTAGGTCCAGGCCCGGAGCAACCCGGTACCGGACCGGGGTCAGGCCGACGGCCTGAAACTGGTCCGGCCTCACTGCCGGGCCGAAGGGGTGCCGCTACATGCTAGCCTGCTCAACCACAGGCTGGTACTTAGCCTGTCCAAAGTTCTCCGAACATAGATTGGCACTGAGCCTACCACAGGGTGGAACAGGTACTGATTATCCAGTCCTACGCTTAGGAGGCTGGTCTCTTCTGCCAATGCCACAGTCGCTGCAGTTGTGAATGAAAATGAAAATGAAAAGCAGTTACCAATCCCGAGTCCCTGCTGAAAGATGAGAAGGGTGCTGAGAATTCCTCTGCCTGTTGTTTTGTTTTGTGAGGCTGCGAAAACGTTTTCCAGCAGACAGAAGAGAAGGAAGTGCGTATGGTGTTATTCTCCGGGAATTTGAGGAGGCCAACGAGATTGAGCGGCTCAGATCAGAACGCGAACGCCTTCTTAAGGCATGGCATGCCCTTTCTCTTTTAAGCATCGTCTTATTATGCCAGTTGACCCCCTTCTATTTATAGTTTTGAGCATCATCTTATTATGCCAGTTGACCCCTTTGGGAGTTGAGTCAGTTGACACCTTATATATCTTTAAAGAATAGTATTCCCAGTTGAATTAACATCTCTCTCTCTCTCTCTCTCTCTCTCTCTCTCTCTCTCTCTCTCTCT